TCTGTTATAAGATCAAGTTGCTTTATCCGTTGGGATTTGAATCCTTTTGCTGGAGCTTTTGAAAATATTGCACTGCCACCGCCTCAACCGCAGTCTCAGCCACCGTTTTCTTTGCCTCCTCCGGTAAACGATCAGGAAAATACAACCGGTAAAGGTAATTCTTCCATTTGATTTTGACAAGAACCTGATGAAAACTGAAATTTAAATCACTCATTTGCAATGATTGTTGGTTATGCAGATGGAAAAACAATTTCGATAGGGACTATTGTTGCGATTATTGTCCCTGCTGTCGTTCTCTTGGTACTACTTGTTGTAGGATTTTTGGTTTGTAGGAGAAGGAAGCTATACCAAACAGTTGAAGTTCAAGGTTTTTTTTTTTATCCTGCTTTTGTTTTTTAGCGTAGTGGAAGTAAATCACATACAAATTATGGAAAAAATTGGATTTTGAGAAAGATGTTACACTTTCTTTGTGCAGTTTGTGATCAAATCACAACAATACACTCGGTGCAATTCGATTTTAAGACGATTGAAGCTGCAACTGATGAGTTTTCGGAGAGTAACATAATCGGGCGAGGTGGATTTGGTGAAGTTTACAGAGTATAAGATCGTTTATCTGTCTGGTTTGCTACTTGTCTATATGAACGTTTTAGTAATCAGATATGGTGTTGTAATCATCTTATATTTTTTTTAGGGAAAGCTTTCAACTGGAACTGAAGTAGCGGTGAAGAGACTGTCTAAAACATCGGGACAAGGCACCCAAGAGTTCAAGAGTGAGGCTGTTCTTGTGACAAAGCTTCAGCATAGAAATCTGGTTAGGCTTCTTGGATTTTGTTTGGAAGGAGAAGAAAAAATACTCGTTTACGAGTTTGTGTCTAACAAAAGCCTTGATTATTTCCTGTTCGGTATGATATGATCGCTTAAAATGCTTATAAGTTCTTTGAAGTACTTATTGTTGCTAATGGTGTTATTTTTATGCAATGTACAGACCCTGCAAAGCGAGGCGAACTGAACTGGACCAGACGGTACTACATTATTGCAGGGATTGCTCGAGGAATTATGTATCTTCATCATGATTCACGTCTTACAATCATACACCGTGATCTGAAAGCAAGTAACATTCTCTTAGATGTCGACATGAACCCCAAAATCGCAGATTTTGGCATGGCGAGGATTTACAGAATTGATCAAACTCATGCCAACACAAATAGAATCGTTGGAACATAGTGAGCTTTTTTTTTTCTTAATTAACCTTACAAATACAAACTATATTTGGTGGTTACTTGTAGGCTAAAAAGTCTATCCTTAATTGCAGTGGTTATATGTCTCCAGAATATGCAATGTGTGGCCATTTCTCCATGAAATCTGATGTCTATAGCTTTGGTGTAATGATTCTAGAGATTATAAGTGGCAAAATGAATAGCAGCTTCTACAACATTGATGATTCTCCTAGCAATTTGGTCACACATGTGAGTATATGATCTTTTGAGTTACATGAGTGTATATGATTAAGCCAAAGGGTATTAATATATTTGATAACTTTTGTTAGGCTTGGAAGCTTTGGAGAACAGGGTCACAATTAGAACTCGTGGATCCGACAATAGGAGAGAGTTCCCCGAGTAACGAGGCTATTATTAGATGCATCCATATCGCACTTTTATGTGTTCAAGAAGATCCTGCAGATCGACCAATGTTGCCAGCAATCGTCGTGATGCTCACTAGTAACACAGACACTTTATATGTGCCTCGAGCACCCGGCTTTTGCCTCTCAAGCATAAGTGAACAATCCACAAGCACGTCTATTCCTTATTCTAACAATGATGTATCGATCACAGATCTAGATCCTCGTTGAAGAATGTTTTTTTTTTTCTTCTTGATATTGGAACTGTATTGAATATATGGAAGTATCAACATCATCTCTTGTTCTTGTCATTACTCTACTTTATGAGACATTTTAACAAGTATATAGAAATATCTGTACTTGTATTTCAGATACAATAAGGTTCACGTTTTCAGTACCCCGAATTGGTTCAGACATAATTAGGTCAATGGTGTTTTGTGAAGCCATCTAAATTGATTTGGTTTGTACTTCGTATGATTTAGAAAATATACATAACAGTTTGGATTAAACAAAAGCAAACAATAGTTTTTTATTCATGGGGCTTGGTTACATTGTTACAAATTGAAACTATATTTTTTTCCCCTATTATATCATCTTTTGAGTAGGAACTGGTGGCGGTGGACCGCGACATCTATTTGTTTTTTCACAACCCCGATGGTACGGATTCGCCGGTTGTTTGGGTGGACATTTGCCATGATCACATCCTGGTTGGCCATCGCCGCCTTTTATTGGCGGATAGCCAATAGCTGTTGCAGCTGCTACGTTCATGTTGCTTATGAACAAACATGCTATGAATATTGCCACGGCCATATACCTTTTTGTTCCTTTCAAAATGCTCATGATGATTTGTGCTTATTTTTTTTTGTAATCTGTGTTTTTATGTGTGTGAAAAAGGTTTCACTTTCTGATATTTATAGAGAATGAAAATTCTGAAAGACCATATCCATACATATCAAAACAGTGATATTTGTTGAATAATATATGGAAGGAATTTAGGGGAGTTTAATTTGTCTTAATCTTTAGAAGCATTTTGTCATGAAATTATTTGTTGGTATACTAAAAAAATATGATGATATCTTTTCTTTTTAGTTTTACTTAAAAAGATATTACAATAGGATAACCGAAATTGGAGAGTAGAAGATAAACCTATGGATTTTTTTTATAAACTACTAAATATGTAGATGCCATAATAGTTAATAGTAATACTAATACTTTACTTCTATCTCTATGTACATTAGGTGTCAAATTTTTCCAATGCGTGGAAGTGAAAAAACAAAATACTAATTTTGTTATAGTATCTGCAAAATTAGTAACTAATTTCTTTTAAACATATTGACCATGAAAATTGAATCAACATACCAAATATGGTCGTATAAGAGTTGTTGAAACTTGGATGCAGGGCCGGCCCAGAGCACAAACCACATAAGCCAAAGGTTAAGACCAAAAATTTTATAGATCATTGAGAGTTATAATTTTTTTTTAAATGTTATTAAAATAATGAGATTTGAATAAAAAAATGTGCTTTGTCTCTTTGGTTTTGATGACTAACAGTTTTCTTTGTCGTTACCATTGAATTTCTCATGTTCTATTTGATTTATAAGTTTATAACATTTTAAAAAATTAAAAAAATTCTTATTTTGAATAGAACCTTCAAAAACGTTAGACCGGGTCTGCTTGGATCTCACGTTTATTGATGTCAAATTAATGTTGCATAAGGTAACATAATCGTCTTTAAAATTTTAAATTGATACCAAAGAAGCCATTTAACCATAAATTAAATTGGGTTCTAATGTATCTATACTAGTATTTTTGAATTACATTTTAGACAGTAATATTTGTTTTGGTAAATATTTACAAAGAATTAATGTCATTACTTTATATCGATGTATCCAAACAACTTATAATTAATTCTCTACTATCCATATAACTAAACACAATTAAAGATTTTGGCTCCGATCGGTGACCATAAAAAGAACAATAGGAATAGGAAAAAAAATGAATGAGAAGGAACAAAAAGGAAATGAAAATGATCAAAATGAGGAACCAAAAGGAACATAAAAATTGAACAGATGACTATGGTAAATGGTAACCAACAAGTTGAATAAATATTTAACATAATAATTATTAAAAATCATTTATTTATTTAGTTTATAAATTTCATTTTAAATTAATGTTTTATATAAAATTTAAAACAAAATATAATAAAAATTCAAATATTTTATTTAAAAATATATAAATTTCACTTGAAAGCATTAATTTATTTATTTTAGTATAAATACTAATTTAAAATAAAGTGATAGTATTCTTTTAAATCAAAATTTTTGATAAAGGTTTTTTATATATAAATATATGGAAAATATTTATACATAGAAATGTAAATATTATCATAAAAGGTATTTTAAAATTATTTAATAATTAAAAACGAATTTTATAATTTTGATCCTCTTTGTTCCTCTACAATTTTGGGTAGGAACAATTTTGTTCTATCATTCTTTTTTTTTTTGAGGAATGGAGAGGAAAAATGTAGGACCCACATGTCTGAAAATGGAACAAAAATTACTTACAAATTGTAAAAAAATTGAGGAACAAAGATGAACATGATATTCCTACTCATTCTTTTCCTCAAAAATGGTTACCAATTAGACCCTTTAACATTAATTATAAAATTAAAAATATGCATATAATGTTCCTGTAATGTTCCATGATTAATAATATAGATATTTAAAAGATTTTGTTAAGATTTAAAATCATAATTCTCATATCAATTTTGTTTGATTTTGTTTTCTAATTGTTTTGAATCATCAAAAATACACAGACAAAAATCTAACTTTTTCTGCATATATTATGATTCGAACTTAAAAATGGATATATATTACTCAATGTCTCAATCAATGAAAAGTGTGTGTTCAACGTCCCACACCGGCATATGATAAATAACATCGACATTAATAAAAAAATTTTAATATCATTAACTCGACACTTTAATACAGGTTATAAATTCATTTTATTGTTTTGTTAACAATTATTATTACATATAATATTGTATTATATATGTTGAATTAGGTGATTTAGTTAAAAAGGAATGAAACAAAAGTTGTCCAGTAGTATAGCAGGGATTAGGATTAAATGCTAGTTGGGTTATGAATTTAAAACGAATGATTCATGTAAACGTCGTTTTTTAAGGACATGTCTCCAGAATATGCAATGCGTGGCCATTTCTCCATGAAATCTGATGTCTACAGCTTTGGAGTAATGATTCTAGAGATTATAAGTGGTAAAACAAATAGCAGCTTCTACCAAATCGATGATTCTCCTGGTAACTTGGTCTCACACATGTGAGTATATGATCTTTAGAGCGAGTAATGAGGCTGTTATCAGATGCATCCATATCGCACTTTTATGTGTTCAAGAAGATCCTGCAGATCGACCAATGTTGCCAGCAATCGTCATGATGCTAACTAGTAACACATACACTTCTATGCCTCGAGCACCCGGATTTTGCCTCTCAAGCATAAATGAACAGTCCACAAGCAGGTCTATTCCCGGTTCTATCAATGATGTCTCGATCACCGATCAAGATCCTCGTTAAAGAATGTTTTTTCTTGATACTAGAACTGTAATGAGTATATGGAAGTATCAACATCATCTATTTTTCTTGTCATTACTCTACTTTACACTACAAGAAATATCTACATTATTAGCAAGAGAGAAGAGCTATTATATGTCATCAATAGCGTTTTCATAAACGCTGTCTTATGCCCCTGTTATGGTAGACCCCCTACATACGATAGCGTTTTTTTCGTATGTTATGATAGAGTATTCTATCATAGCATTAGTGAAACGCTTTCATATATCGACTTATAATAGTGATATATATAAGCTATGATCTATAATTTTTATGATGCTATAATATTCAGTGCCATAACTCTAATTTTATGCGGTTGTTTTAAGCTATTTGCATTTGGTGAAACCTGTTTAATTTTAAAAATATCCAATATATATATATATAATAATAATAATAATAATAAACATCTAAAAGATATACATCATTTCATAAACCAAAAATCAATTCATACATAACACAAGTCTCAATCCAGTACTTAAACTAATATCCTAACTTCTATATACTACTTTTGGCAAGGAAGTTATTGATGAGATCATGCAAAATCCTTACTTCGTTTTCTAGATATTGGACTCGATTCCTCAAGGAAGTTAGCTCAGCTTCATAGGTTGTTGTAGTCTCTTCCTCTCTCTTAGGTTTTCGAAAAAGACAGCTACCTTTTCTCTTAGGTTTTCCCCAAATACTGCAGTCTTCATCTATCTCACTGTCCTCAACGACGAGATTCATTATATCTTCTGTTAGAACATGAAATAAAACAAGTAAAATTCAGGCTTCTTGACCACAAACTTATTGAGTCACTTTATTAGTAAACAAATCTCTTTACTCACCTGAAAACTCAACCTGCGACTGAGACATATCTTTAGCCTGAGAAGAGACTAATTCAATTTCCTTTGTACCTTTACTTTCTCCAAGAAACTCAAGACCATCACTTGTATCCAACATCGGTGACTCATAGACATAACTCGAAAACCACTTACTTAGATCAGGAACTTCTGAGAATTCTGAAAACATAAGTGAAAAAGAACCACATAAGTAAAATCAATGCAGTTAAAACAACAAGATATATACAGATCTTCGCAACCAAGCAAATTCAGAAAACAGATTCCAAGAAAATGAGTTACCTTCACTATCATCCATCTCTTAATTCTTTCTATTCGCTCCTCTTTCACCTTGGTATCCTCTACATTGTCTTTGTCTTGAGTGCTTCCATTAGTCTTTTTCTTTGGCTGCCCGACCTCCACTTTCTATCTCTTTAAGAGCACTGATCAAATACAAAGTTGCAATCAAAGACAAAGAATGTGACTATGGTCGTTTAGTTGCAATGACAATGTATACCAGCCATACCATATACTGTTAACCGTTATAACTATGCAGGAAAAATATTAGAAGATAAAAAACTTAGAGAAATTAATAAGCAACTAATAAGCAGCTCTTGTCTATATATATACCAAGAGAACATAAGGACATGATTTTGTGGACCAAGAGAACATATGGACATCGAAATCATCAACATGATGAGTTAAAATGCTCTTTCAGGTTATATCAAAGAGCAAGATAAAGTTAAAGTTTTGTATAAGAGTTAAAACTCTAGCAATCCGAAATCATAGACCAACAGAACAATCAATTTGAAACACATACAGAGACAACACTTTATGCCAATTAAACATAACAGTCTACTCTACTTAGGATCATACTTTCATCATCAGCTTAATGGTCCATAAAGGCAGATTATTACACTTTCATCTACTTAGGATAATACATTCTCAGTTACTATACCCAATGAAAACTTGTAAATAAAAACAAAGAGACTCTTTACTATAAATAAAGATTATTACTTCACTTTCAAAATTACATGATGCAAGAAATTGCAAATCTATGAAGTCGCACAATCAAAAATTCTTTCGTATTTTATCAACAAAACTCTCATTAAGATTCAAATGAAAATCAACAGAGGAAATATCGAACACATAAAGAGCTCTTTAATTCCAATGAGAAATACTTAGAAGATTACAACAATACCACTTTCTAGTAAAATACATTTCTCTACTTTAAAACCTAAATCACACTTAACAGATTATTATTATGAAAACTCTTAAGAAAAAAACATTACAAGCCATAAATTTATTCAAAACAGAACCTAAAAAGAGACAAACGCTTAAAACCTATTCACATATACTAAGAAGAAACGAGCTTACTTCCATTGTAATGGTGGACACCAACTTTAGCAAGCATTACGTAGTACTCAATCTCTAATCTTCTCAATGGTGGGCAATTGGTGGAGATTGCAATAATCTTCCATGTGAACAAAACCAGAATAAATAAAAAAAAAGCTAAAACATTTAGGTATGCACACCAAGTGTTCGATGAAATTACCTTTGGAGCCACGAATGGATTTGAGAACAGAGAAATTCCATATTGTGGTGGAGAAGACAGATGATCAAGACGGTAAGACGGTAAGAAAAAATCAAAGAAGAGAGAGATAAGACAGAGGAGAAAGACGGAGAAGGAAAGAGAGAGAATACGGAGAAGATGGAGAAGTAAATCAAACAATCAACCTAATAGATCAATCGGAAATAGAGGAGAGGAGAGAGATACCTAGCTGGATTGAGAGCGTGTTCTTCACCGGCGAGCTGGAGATTACCGGAGACGAAAACAAGCATACCAAGACCAGAAAGTTGACAATGGATCTGATGTCGATGCTTGCACTGTTGGAAGGGAAGAGAAGTGAATGAAGAGAGACGACCAAAGGAGAAAGGAAAAAGGAAAACGAAGAGAAGGAGACAAAGAGAAAGATGAGAGAATTAGGTTACAAAGAGATGATTTTTGGGTGAAAGGGGGAAATATTTCTAAGTGTTGGCGGTATAGTGAATTATTTTGGTTTAGTGTAGACGAAATAAATGATTTTAGATTCCCGATTACAGATTTTCTATCTTAGCGTTTACTAAAAGCTGTTATAGAAAAACAAAATTTACGAGTCATTTTTGATAGCAGTTGAGAAAAATGAGCTATCCTCTTGTGCTATTAATGTGGAATTTTCTTGTAGTGTTATGAGACATTTAAACATATACATATAGAAATATACTTGTATTTCAGATATAAACATTGTACACAACAAGGTTCACGTTTTAACCAATTTAATTTCAATAACAAGAATTGGTTCAGACATAATTAGGTCATTAGTGTTTGTGAAGCCATCTAACTGTAAATCGAACTTGTTTGTATGATTTAGGAATTAGAAAGGGAATAGTTTGGATTAAACAAAAGCAAACCATAATTTTTATTCATGGAACTCGGTTAAATTACATTATATTTCAAATTAACCCTGTTTTTTTTTCTTTCTTTCTATTATATCATCTTTTGAGAAAGAACTGGTGGAGATGGACCGCGACATCTATTTGTTACTTCACAACCCCGATGGTACGGATTCGCCGGTTGTATGGGTGGACAATTGCCATGATCACATCCTGGTTGGGAATCGCCGCGTCCTATTCCTGGATAGCTAATATCTTTTGCAGCTGCTACGTTCATGTTGCTTATGAACACACATGCTATGAATATTGCCACGACCATAAACCTTTTTGTTCCTTTCAAAATGCTCATAATGATTTGTGCCTTTTTGTTTGAAAAAATTGTGTTTGTGTATCAAATAGCTAATAATGTTTTTATGAGTAAGAAAAAAAGGTTGTACTTTGTGATATTTATAGTCAATGAAATTTTTAGAAAGATAATCCATGCATATCAAATCAGTGATATTTGTTGAATAACATGGAAGGAATTTAGGGGATTTAATTGATCTCAATCTTTAGAATGCTTTGTGTCAAGAAATCATAATCTGTTACAATATATGATGCTGTCTTTTTTTTTCTTCTCTTTACTTAAAAACAGATTACAATTGGATATGTAAAACTGACAAGTAGAAAACATACTTATCGAATCAAATTTTATAAACTACTAAATATATAGATGCCAAAGTAGTTAATAGTACATACTAATACGTTACTTCTATATGCATAATAGATTAGGTGTCATATTTTATCAATACGTGGAAATGAAAAACAAAACACTAATTTTTTCATAGTTTCTGCAAAGTTAGTGACTAAGAGCATCTCCATCCATCAGACACTGTGTGGGTGTCTCAAAAATACTATTTTAATCAATTTATAATAAATAAGTTATTTATTTAAATTATAAATTATAAAAAAAAAAATTGGCCAATAATAAAAGGACAAGTGGAGACACAGTTTCTCAAAGTTTCTCAAACCAGAAACTGTGTCTACACTCTCTCCTACTTTTTATATTTTTTCTATTTTTTTAATCTTGAGACATTCCTCCAGACATTACTGTTGGAGATGCTCTAATATTCGTAAAAAAAAAAAAACACTGACCGAGTGACCGTTGGGGGTGAAAATTGAATCAACACAACACAACACACCAAACCAACATGGTCAGAAAAAAGTTGTAAATTGCAAATTCTATAACTTGTGCACTGAATGCAAATTGCAAATTCTGACTAGTATCAATGGGTTTGATTAAAATGTGTTATCAGGTTGGGTTTTGTTAGTTGTGTGGTCTAAGTTTGTTTGTTGACTTCCATTGCAGCTAATAGACTCCACTAACGATTCAAAGTTTATGAGTCAACTTAATTTTTCAAAGCCATTTGCATAATTTTCCTTAGACCATCTCTTTCAATTAAGAATGTATGGCAAATTCAGTGAACCTGTCAAATCTGCCAAGAGAACCTACACGGTATTTGATGCCCCAAACAAAAACTTCTTGATTCTAATATCTAAACACATTTTCTGATCTTGAGAGAATGAAACTCAAGACTTTATTTTTACCAATCTTCTTGTTTTTCCTCATAACCTTACATTCTGTTTCTGCACAAACTTGCTTTAATGGATACTTTAAACCCAATGGTACTTACGACTTAAACCGTCAACGGATCCTCTCTTCTCTTGCTTCTAATGTCACAGCTAGCAACGGCTTCTACAGCTCCGCCATCGGCCAAAATCCTGACCAAATCTTCATCATTGGCATGTGTATCCCTGGAACTAAACCAAAGAGATGTTCAGATTGCATCAAAGGCTCATCAGACGGCTTGTTACGAAGCTGTCCTAACCAAACAGTTGGTTATGTATGGCCAGATTGTTGTATGGTACGTTATTCCAACATTTCCTTCTCTGGATCACTCATTATGGAACCGTCTCAACCTGTGTCCAATCCCGCGCCTATCGGTGTTGATTTGACATTGTTTGATAGAATATGGGACGAGTTAATGTCCCGTACGATAACTGCAGCTTCGAGCACTCATGGATCACCATCATTTGGGCATAAGTACTATGCAGCTGAGGTTGCTTCATTGACAGCTTTCCAAACTATATATGCAATGGTGCAATATACACCGGATGTTTCTTCAGGGGACTGTGAGTTTTGTCTGAAGAAAACTGTTCTTGATTATAAGAAATGTTGTCGCGGTCACATTGGCGGTGCTTTTGTAAGACCATTTTGCTTTATCCGGTGGGATTTGTATCCTTTTGCTGGAGCTTTTGAAAATATTACATTGCCATCGCCTCCACCACCGCTTTCTTTGACTCCTCCCGTAAGCAATTGATGGGCTGCGACAATCACAACGAGTCAAGATACCATATTTGAGTTTACGTTTTGGGTATTAACGGATAAAAGGAGTATCTACTCCGTACTCATCTTTTCGTTTTAGTTGTTGTTTCCTCGCAATGAATGGGATATGTTATGCATCTTTTGGTTGAGGGATTGAAAATTCCGAATCGTTGTTCTCGTTTTCTATATAAATCAACGAAATGCCAACAAGAAAGGTAGTATAAACTACCAATCAAGTAAAAACGTTCTTGTGTTATTCGTTCAACGCTTTGATTGTGACATATTATTTTGGTATTAGAAAGTACTCGTCCTGGACGCTCTGGACCGAACACCTGACTATATTCATCATCCAAGCTAGCTGTAATATTGTTTGTGACTTGCGGATTTTGACTCAACAACGTCGTAAGTGCTTCCTAAAAAAAAGTAGAGAATGATAAATATTTAGCATGGTTAACTAGTACAATCCAATAGATTTTCAAAGTAACTGGAATAACGCATCTCAAAATTTTATCTAAAGATCACTTCCAAAAACTATTGACCAAAATTCATAGTAACTTTAATA